ATATATATATATATATATATATATATATATATATATATATATATAACATATAATTAGAAATTTTATTGAATAAAATTATATATAGAAATATTTGCTTATATATATATTGCATTTTTATCATTATAAGATCATTAATTAATATCTATTATTTTTTTTTGGCATAAACGAAAACTATTAAAATCTTAAATATTTATAATACAGGATTAAAAATATTTTTTAATTTTTATTTTTCATTGATCTTATTATTCATCTGCATTTCTTATTTCTACATCTAAAAATTTCATTGATTAAAAATACGTATAATAAATATAAAATGGAATAAAATTATCTATTCTATATATATATTTTAAATAAATATAATTTAATCATATTTTTATAAATAAAATAGTTTTGCATAATTTATCTATGAGATACACATTAAGATATAAAATTTTTAAATAACAGTGATAACTTTTAATTAAAAAAAAATACGTGCTGTATATATTGATATTTGTATATATTGATAATATTTAAAAAAATTATATAATCGTATAGTTTATTTTATTTTTTCGGTATTATATATAATGAGATAAATTATTAATTATAAAGTCTCTTTCAAAAAGAAAATTCTATTTATTATTCTAAACTTCAATAAATAAAAAATAATGCAATCATAAAATTATTACATATCAAACTCAAATTATTCATAATCACGATTAGGATAATGAAATAAAAATAGAACAGATAATTTATTTCAAATTTAAATCAAATTTTAATTATGCATAATAGATAAAAATATTGAAGTCATATGAAAAATTAGTTTAACATAATATATTAGTTATACATAGTATATTAGTTAGTATGAAAATTAAATTTTACATAACATATTTGGTTTATAATATTATATAATTTAATCATAAAATTGTAATAAATATAAAATGGATTAATTTAATTTACAGACGGTATCTAAAAGACATGCAGAGATTGAAGCTAATAATCATGATACAACCGTATGGATTTGCGATTTGAATTCTTCGAACAAAACAAAATTGAATAATGTAATGTAAATTTTATCTGTATAATGTAATTTTAATTATTTCAATGTTAATTATTTATCAAATTTAATTGATTTCTATGCAGTAAAAATTTTTAATAGAACTTTTATAATTTCAGTTATTTCCTAATTATTCTTAATTTTTTTTATTGATTATTTTTTATTAATACGTAAAAATTGATAAATTGATAAAATTAATCAAAATTAATAAAGATTTATAATATAAAATATAATATTTTTTAAAATTATTTAATAATTAATTATTATCACTGCTATATATAACGTTATAAAATTTTGTTACTTAAGAAATAATTTAGATAAAATTTTTTAATGATTTAATATATTTTTTTGTCTCTCTCTCTAGTCAATTTTAAGGCCAAATCGATTCTATGAGCTTAAAAATGAAAACGTGTTGGAGTTTGGCATGGTGCGAGCAGTATTTAAATTTTATCATTCAATGGATGAGTCTTTAATTCCAGAAACTCCAGCATCCCGTCAAAAAATACAGAAATTGATCATTCCAGGAACACCTGATTCGTCATTGGTAATTATTATTTGCTTAATTATAATACATTTGTATGTGTTATATCATATAAATATATGATTTTATATAGAACGATTCATCCACATTGGGAGAAAACATCTCTATGATTCCTGCTATTCAAACCAAGAAAGAACTCGAGAAAGAAAGCATATTTCGATGTCCGAATCCGATGCCTATAAGGACTTCAACTAGCAGCACTCGGAAAAACGATTTTCAAAATTCTTCTGTTGATAATTTGGATAATTCCCAAAGTTCTGATATAGAAAAGAAACGAAATGTAGGTGTATCAAGAATTAATATTTATGATATGGAAACACAAAAATCGTTCGAATCTCTTAATGGAACAAATATTGATGTTCACGATATTGAAACTCAAAAAATTTGTTTGAATAATAAAGAAATCTTTTCAAAATCTTTAAACGAGCAAAAAGTTAATATACATGATATAGAAACGCAACATGAAATAAATACGCAAGAAAATGTTATTAACATTCATGATATAGAAACGCAACACGATATAGATATTCATGATATGAAAACACCGAAAAAAGTTCAATATGTTAAATCTCGTAATAATAACACATATAATAATGAAAAACTTGAAATAGGAATTGAAGAAGATGAAAATTTAATTATAAAAGAAAAAAATAATACTATAATACAAAAAGACGAAGCTATTGCAAGTACATCATATTTTAATGATAATAATAAATGTGATAATAAAATTGAACATAGACGAAGTATTAAGAAAAATTTACAGAAGAACTCGCAAAGATGTTCACAGTCATCAATTGCAACAAATTTTGAAAATGAACTTTCAGAACTTGATACAAGTCGAAATTTACTTGGTTCACAATGTTTATTAGAAGATTTAATTGACGATGATGATAACGATGAATTACTTGATGAGTCAAAATCAAGATCATCAACCCCTTTAAAAACTTCATGCGTAAACGATAACGAAGATGTAAATAATAAAAGCACCGACAGTGAAAATATATTTGAAGCAGCAACACAGATTAATCAAATTGATAAAGATATAACTCATCGCATTAATTACTCGTTCAGAGCTTCTTTAACGGATCCTAATGATTCCGATGAGACTGACAATGAGGGTGTATTTCAAAGGTATTCTTTTGAAGAAAATAAAAAGAATGAAAAATCTTCAATGATTCGAGTATCTGAGAGTGACGATTCATTTACCGATGAAGAAGGTCGTTTTATAGAAATGGCTGCAATAGAAAAGCGAGCTGCTTCCAATTCGTTTGAAAAGCGAAATAGAAATAAAGAATTAAAAATGATTCAAGTAAAGATTCTGAGGATCTGTTTAACATGCTTACTCAGCCAATAAATAGAAAGAATAAAAATCTATTGTCCAAATGTGATGAAAAAACACAGAATACTATAGATAAAGTAGAAATAGATTTTGATACTCCAACGCAAGTAATTGATAGGAAACAAAATAATTCAGAAATAAATAAAGATATTGAAATGAAAGAAAGAATTAAAGATACAGAAGTAGAGAAAGTTGATGATTTTACACCAATTCAAGTTCTTAAATCTTCCTCTAAAGAAATGAATTCTCTTGTTTCAATAAAAAATAAAATAATTTCCGATAATGAAAATATTACCGAAATGGAAGATAATACGCCTACTCAAATAATTAACATTATAGAAAAAACTTCAAATATAGATAATAATAAATATTCTAATTCTTTGAATTCTCTAAGATTGAATACTATAGAAGAATCTAGCATTGAAAACATTGATTATGAAATGGCTGCTACTCAGCCAATCAATGATACAGAAATGCGAAAATCTGTATCAATTATTAATAAGAGTAAAAACATATTGGATTTATCCGAGAAATCAAATAATATAAATTTAGATGATACTATAGAAAAAAATTTAAATGCAATGTTTGAAGATGTGAACGAAGAGCATAGTGAAGAACAGCACCAAATATCAACTCAACTTCTTAAAAACATGTTAGAAACTTCGCACTGCGAGAATAAATCATCCATCAATAATCTTAATGAAAATTCAATTGATTGCAAATTTGAGAAATCTACAAAAGAAAAAAATAGTAAAACACCAATAGATTCAAATTCGAATTTAGAATCAGATAAAAAATTGTATAAATCTAATTTAAAAAGTATTGATAACATTCCTGAAGATTTATCGACACCAAGATCATCTACAAAAAAAGAACATGAAGAATCTAAAATAGTTAATACAATACAAGAAGAAAATAAGAAAAAAGAATGTATATTTAAAGAAAATAAAGCAGGTTCCGAAAATATAGGTAATCAAGTTTTTGATATATTAATTGATAGTGATCAACTTCAACAAACTTCTAAAGTATTAGAAAATAACGATGATGATATATTAGCTGGTTTACCTGAAGTTAAAATTGCAGGTACATATCCAACAAGTCCAACTTCGTCAACGTCATCTGAATATAGAATAAATATTAATCATAATCGAACAAAGCAAATATCCATAAAAATTGCGCCTAAAAAAAGAAGATCTTCACGAAAAACATTTAATCACAAAAACACGCAAAACGCAGAACTTGATCATACTATTAATAAATCAAATTCTACAACTATTTTGGAAAATTTTTCAAATTCGTTATCAAGTAATTCTAATGATGACAAAGTATCAGTACAAGAAACCAATAAAAAAAAGAAAAATAAAAAAACAAAAGAATCAATAAGAAAGACAAATCCAGAAAATTTACATAAATCCAAAAAAAACAATACTTCACCAAAATCGGTAGCTTTTATCAATTCACAAGAAAAAGCAAGACAAAGTCCTTTTATTTCAACCAATAGAAGGACTCGTAATTCGAGCAAAGAGAATATTGATCATTCATCTATTTTTCAGGTGGAAAAAGAAGCACTAGTTAAGAAAGTAACTGATGAATCTGCAGAGAGAAATCTTCCGAATACATGCGTTAAAAAAAGATCGCTTAGTTGGACGGATACGATTGAAATTAATAATTCCAAAGAGCATAAGAGTAATATTAAAGAAAATAAGATTGTTAACACTAGAAGTAGAAAAATGAATAAGGTAATTGATAGAAGACAATCTACAAATACTCTTAATATTAGCTCTTTGAAAAACTCATCAATCTCATGCGATAGAAAATTATTATCTGATGAAGACATGAATTTAGATAAACAGCCAATAGTAAAAATCGAAAAAATGTCCATTTATACTCCAACAGGATCAATATCAAGTACTCCAACGGGAGAGATGATTGATAATAAACATAAAAATAAGCAAAATAGTCAACGTGCAAACATCATAGACAATCAAGCTGTGTCTAATATAGAAAATGAGAAAACTAGTCAAAATATAAAAGCACAAAGAATCGAATTTCAAATAGACGAAATTAGTTCTCAAATAGGAGAGGAATCTCAAGAAATAGAAATGATCATGAACAATGCCCTTAAAGAACAAAGTACAGAAATAAAAAAAGATGTAGATAACAATGCAGCAAATATCAAAACCAGAAGCAGTAGAAAACATAAAAATATTCATATGAATGTTGATAATACAGAAAGTAGTAGTACATCATCTATTATATACGAATCTGATAATGCAAATTTTGAAATTCCCATTTCCAAAATTAAACATATGAAGATGTCAAAAAATAGATTAAATATAATTAATGCATTAGAAAATGAATCTGTTAAGGAAATGAAAAAAAAGAACAAACAGTTTACTAGATCAACTCGAGTTCGTCGACGATCAATTATAGATTCCTCTATAAATGAAAATAAAAAAATTATTAATGAAAGTACAGAAACAAAAAGAAATAGCAAACAATCTATTAGATCAATCCAAACTCATCAACAACCAAATGTAGATTCTTCTACAGATGAAAATACAAAAATTATCACTGAAAATACAAAAACAAAAAGAAACGGTAAACAATCTACTAAATTAACCCGAGTTCGTCAACAATCAGTTACGGATTCTTCAATAGATGAAAGTACAAAAATTATCAATGAACATATAGAAACGAAAAAAAAAATAAACAGTCCATTAGATCAACTCGAACTCATGAACAATCAATTATGGATTCTTCTATAGAAACTAATCAAACCTCAATAACTAACAATACAAATAAAATAAATAATTTAAGAAATAAACGGCAAAGACAAACAACAGGAAAGATTGAAAGCAATAAGAAAAGAAAAATGGATTTCATAGAAGAAACAAATTCAGAAACAAATTCCAGCATTGAAGTTACGTCGATAACTTCTACGCCCAATAGAACACGTAGAAGTATGAATTCTTCATTTACAACATCATCACCACTTAAAATAAAACATAAAATTTTATTTACGGGTATTTCAAGTAATGATTATAGCAAATTATTAACAAAATTGGGTATGTATTTTATCGCGAAGAAATGTAATGAGAAGTAATTGTATTGTATAATTAATTAATATTTTTGTTTTTTGACAGGCGCATCTCAAGTTGAAGATCCAACAAAATGCACTGTATTGGTTACAGACAAAATACGAAGAACTGTTAAATTTTTATGTGCTTTAGCACTATCTATACCAATAGTTTCAACTAATTGGTTGCATGATAGTGAAAAAATTGGCCGTTTTGAAGAATTAGAAAGTTACATATTGGAAGATCCTGAAGCTGAAGCTAAATTTCATTTTAAATTAAAGAAAAGCTTAGAAAAAGCGAAAGAATATAAGCTTTTAGAAGGATACACACTTATTTTAACTCCTAATATAGCTCCACCACCTCCAGAATTAAAAAGTATGTCATAGAAATAATAAAAAATTATTTCAGCAGGTAAAGAAAAGAAAATATACATTAAAAAGACATATTTGTTATAGGTATAATTATTTCATGTGGTGGCAAAGCTTTACTTCGACCACCATCATCTTGGCCTGAAAAAGCAATGATTATTTCTAATAAAGAAGATTTAATAAATGCAAAAAAATTTCTTGCAAAAGCACCTAAAAATATTACCATTCAATCAACAGAATTTATATTAACTGGTATTTTAAGACAAGAATTAGAATTTAATGAATTTAAATTATATAATTAATTTTTCAAATTGATATGGCAAAAATGTGCAAATTACTTATATATATATATATCTTTTAAATATTTTCAAATGAATACATATAAAATTAATACAAAATCAAAAATACATTATCTTGTGTAATTAATATAATATGTCTTAATTTTGCAATATATATATCATGTATATATAAATATATATATATCTTCTAAAGATGCTTTATAAATGTATATAAAATTTTGATTAGATTTTTAAATCTTTGTATAAATAGAATTTTTATATTTTAAAATATAATTTATATTTTTAATATAATGTAAGCAATATTCAATTTTAATATATAAAATACAAACAAAAATTTTTTAATTTATATAACGTTTGACATATTTAAATTTACCATATTTTATATTAATATTTAATATGGAAATGGATTTAAATTAATTATTATGTAGACATATTTTTTAATTATAAACTTTATTATTCAAAATTATACAGTCATTTTTATTTAATATTTCTAATATTTTTTACTAAACTTAAAATTGATTTTTTGAATCTAACAAAAATTTTTATTATTAAATTTTTATTAATTAATGAAAAAAAATGCACTCCTTAATATTGAATAAAATATTTTCACATTGTCATATATATTCTTGATTTTTGAATTGAGCAATTAAGTTCCAATAATACCAACTATAATAATAAAACATTTATAACCACTTAAATGCACAAAATTTAGAAAATTTGTAAATGCAACAGTGCATATAAATTTAATACAGATATATCTGTATACTAATGAAAGCTCCAGATTCAAGCAATTCTGGATTAAAAGTAATCTAATTAGGAGATAATTATATATATTTTAAAGTCACAATATATGAGTAATAGTAATAATTGTAAGATAATATTTGTACTAAATACTAATTATCTTATCCTAAATAAAAATTTATGTTTAGTAACTAAATGCATTACTAAGAATAAAAGAAATGAAAAAATTGTTATCATATTCAAAAATATTCAAGAAGTTTTAATCAATTGGAATTGACAAATACTTTTTTCAAAAACAGCAATTTCAGGGCAGGACAGTAACCTCTGAGTTCCTAAAACAAATAACAAATCATTAAAAATATTAATAAAGCAATTAATAAAAAATTATTTTAATAATAATAAATTGTTCTCAAATAAATATTATTTTTCAAGAATTTATATTAATACTTTCAAATATATTAAATATTCCTATATATTTTTTTATATATGTATCATTTTAAACTAAAGTTTTTAAGAAATGAGTCACCTTTAAAATATTGCGCAGTAGATAAAAAAAAAAGAAGTAAAAAAATTTTAAGAAGTCGTTATATTAGCAAGTAATAATACGAAATCAAAAATATAAATAATTAATTTCAATTTATTTATTTTCAATTATATCAATAAATATGGCAAATGTGCTTCTACGATTTAAAATTACTTGTGAAAGAAAAACAAGAATGTAAACACATACAAACTCGGCCAAGGTTTCAGATTTTCCGGTTGCATTCAAATCAATAACGTAACAAGCAATATGTATCGTTAACAATTACGTCGCAATTAAAAAATTGTTACTTACTGCTTATGCTTTGGTCTTTCCAACATTTCGCTTATTATGTTCAGAATTCATCAATTTAGTAAGGATCTTTCTAGAATGGCCGCACGGATCAAAATGATTCGTATGTGTAAGAGCTTCGCGTTTGCTTCGTTGTTTTCCACTATGACCGGTGAAGATATGCTTGTCGTAATCGTAATTGAAATGCTCGTATTCGTCAACGTAATAGTCAGACATAGCTCTTGTTTTCTGAAAAAGTACTCAAAAAAATAATAGCGTAGAATGCAAACGAAAAATCTCTCTTTATCTCACGTTTACTTTAAACTATTTAGACACCGTCGATTGCAACTCTTATATAGGCTACCAAAGAACTTCTACGCAAGCGCAGCATCCAGTAATGGCTCTAGTATTTTAAATACCTGATATAAGAATTGTTTTAGCAAATTAAAATGTCTCTTTTCATTTATTTCTTATTTTAATACAATTTTTCATTAAATTTTTCTAAAGTAAAAAAATAAATTTTAATTTTTCTAATACATTAAAATTTAATAAATGAAAGTTTAATAAAATCATATATCAAAGAATTAGAATTTAAAATTCTAAAAAAAAGTTAATATTCTTGTTTGTATTGATCACAAAGATTAACATTTGCAATTATTAAAATATAATTTATTATATAAATGTATTTATTGCATAAATTACTTATATTTGAATTCAATACTTTTTATATTTTTAAATAATTTAAATATGAATATTTTTGCATGTTAAACAATCTATGAGCAAAAATAATTAGTTAAATTCATATAATTATTTATTAGAAACTTATATACAATTTTAAAATATATAATTTTATGATATATGGACAGCCCTGATAATATATCTTTCTTCTGTCTTAAAATATTACTTTAATTGATTCAAGTTTTCATATTTATTATATATTCATTTCATATTATATTTTCATTTAAAATTAGATGTAATTTTGTAGAAAATATATGCTTGTATAACTCTAGATTTATATATCAAATTTCTGTTATATGATATAATCTGTATGTTTGGCAACAAACAATACATTGATCCATTACGCACGCGCAATTAGCATCTTGTTACTTGTTGACTTCTACAAGTAATTCTACCGTTGTAAGCAAAATGTCGACATATATTTTGCACTTATCATGTTCGCTGACATATCTTAAAAGATATAGAAAGAATGCAAAAATATTCACTTGGGGTATGGTCAAGCAATTAGTGTCAAACATATTTTTTATTCTATATATTATAGGAGAATGATGTAAGTTAAAAAATATAATTTATAGTGATGAAATTTCAGATTGATTGAATTCTTTTATCTTGAAATCGACTACATTATCATTTGAATTTATGTAAGTTATCGAAAAATTTGTCCTTATTATTAAATGCTAATTAAATTCATATGAAAAAATATAAATTATGTTTACAATAAATATGTACATTTATATTTATACATCTTTATGCTTAGATTACACATGATATCTATGTTTACATTGTAATTGTGATAAAACGTAGATTTTTTTTATTTTATTTATTATAACTTATAGATTTATTTTTAATTTCAATTTATTCACAATTTATTAAAAAACATTTAAAGCATTGTTATAATATAATATATAAGAAATATCTTGAAAAAAAAAATGAGAAAAGAATTTTAAAATTTAATGTAGAATTTAAAATCGATAATGATCTTTTTTCATTTTTTTTTCCTTCTTATCGAAGGTTGATAACGAATTATGATTAATATGTTATTGGCAGGAATATTATGTTTTTCAAAATTATTTATAAAATATCATTCAATTTTTGTAATAATAGAAATTACAATCGTTTAATTTTAGTTTAGATTTGACGTATATGATTATATTTATTTATATTTATACCATCCATATATAAAAATTTGTACGCAATATGTCAAATGAAAGGTCAGACGAAACTACTAATCGACTTCGTGAAATTACAATCGATTGAAAGGATATCGCATACATAAATTCCGTTAATCAAATTGATCAATAATACACAAATAGAAATATCGACAAGAATATATATCAATAATATATATCAAGAATATATATCAATAATAATGAAGCTGTAAGAGTATTCTTAACACGATATATTTCAATTAACGTTATTTTCAATATATCGTGATTTTTATTTTTTCCTATATATAGAGTTGAGATATTTGATTTTTTAAAGGTTGATTATATTTTTAGAAACTGTTAAGTAAAAAAATGAAAATTACTTTCTTTCTTTATAATATAATATATTATAATATATTTTTAATATATTCTTTATAATATAATATAATAATTTTTTATAATATAATAGAATGTCAAATATTTCAAATGGAATTAGAAAATATTACAACTCATTTTTTGAGTTAATAATATTTTTAATTATAATTCGTTTTTTCAAATTCCTTTTCCAAAAGGAGATATCTAAATGACAATTGATAATTTATAATTTATATCCATAATATATAATGTATTATAATAATTAATATATATTTAATTAGTATAATATACAGTAGTATATATTTTATAATTAGAAATTAGAATTAGAAAATGTGAGTGTATAATAATTTATATTTTTCTCAAAAATATTTATAAAAGATATTTTGATAATTTATTGAATTATAAATATAATCAATTAATAACATAACTATATATATATTTTATGTAGAATATTTTATAAGAAATTCTTGTGTATCTATATGAATATATGGAATCGAAGTCTCGAAGAAGTATGTACATTAAATTCATGTTTTTCAAATAATTTAGATTATATAGATCTAAAATATGTAAAGAAATATTAAAATAACTTTCAAGATTATATTTCATTATTCAGAAAACAATTTTTATTTTAAATTACTGTAATATTCTGAATTAGTTGCATAATATTTTTAACTTTTTTTGTAAACACTAATAAATCATCCTTTTAATGAATCTTGTAAAAAAATATGAGATTCATTGTCATGTAGTTTAGTTGTTACTTAATAGCGGAAACTTTACATATGAATTTCCGCATGGATCGATAGTGGTAGGTAGAATCTTGTTCAGTTCAGTAAAGTTTACTAAAACCTATACTGCAGTTATTCACTCAACTAATCAGAATAATTATGTTATAATTATAACAATATTTTCACTAATAATATAAAATTATATAAAAATTTTATAAAAATTATATAAAAATGAACGATTTTTAAAGTCTATAAAAAAGAATCAGATATAAAAAAAATTACATATATAAAAGTTTTATTGAAGAATTTTAATTTCGCATAAATCAACATATCACAATATATTTTATCATGGAAAATTTCTCTTTAAAAGAAGTTTTATAATTTTATATGTATAACATTATATAATTTTATGATCAAATGTTGAAGAGTTTAATATTGAGAACTCGAACAACATTTATGATCAACTTTAGCAATTTATATATTGGAAGATAGCATTTATGTTTCATTCATAATTATTTATTTTAATAAAGTTTAATCAAGTCCATATACGTCTCCTCCTTTTCGATAGTCCGCATTCGCATATACTGTATTGTTTTTGGTAAAAATGACACAAGCCACACTGCCACGAACTCTATAACGAGAAGTTACGTGCCCAAATTTTTGCAAACTATCAATTACTGGCTTTGGCACGCCGTATTCGTAATTCAT